CATAACCAAATTTCAAGAATCCCTTGCAAAAAATAAGGTAAAGTGGACATTCGCGCGCGCAAGACGAAATCCTTCCAAAACCTTAGTTTTCGTAGCGATTTTAACATAAAAACATCAAAAAACCAATGGTTTTTCAAAAAAAATGTCAAAATTTCATCCCGCGCGCTCTTGCGGATTCGTAGGAAACCCAACACTTTTTAAACATTTCTGTCAAACGGGCTTTTGCGAGCAACTTTTTCGAACTTCTGCGACAACGGTTGCGCACCTGCCAGGGCCATCATCCCTGTCAAATAATACCATGCGGGACACATTCGTTTTTTCTTCGCGCGCGCACGCCGTCGTCGTCGGCCGCGGGGCCCTGAATAGTAGCCACGGTCGTCCGCATGCCACGAAGTGAAGTGTCCGAACGTCATAGGGCGGGAAGCTGGGTGTGGGTGGTGGCGAAGAGTCGTTTGGAAATTTGGTAGAGCTTGAACCGGCCCCCCCACAAAGTGGGGGTATTGCCCGCCTCCTATGAAAACCCTGGCACTGGTGAGAACGGTGTGTCCCCACGTGCTAGTAATTGTTGTTGTTGTTGTTGAACATTATTAATTCTAAAGAATAATTATTGTTGGGCCCCCTGGTGCGCGCCCCCCCCGCCGCGCCTAGGCCGCAGCCACGTTTTCATCATTTTCGTGAGGAAGCCTCAGGTAAAACGATGTGATCCAGATCCGGTTGTTTTGTTCCCCCCCGCTTTCCCTTGCAAAAAACACTATAAAATGACATTTCTTGTTCTAATATAATCAAATTTCAAGAATCCCTTGCAAAAAATAAGGTAAAGTGGACATTCGCGCGCGCAAGACGAAATCCTTCCAAAAGCTTAGTGTTCGGAGCGATTTTAACATAAAAACATCAAAAAACAATGGTTTTTCAACACAAAAATGTCAAAATCTCATCCCGCGCGCTCTTGCGGATTCGTAGGAAACCCAACACTTTTTAAACATTTCTGTCAAACGGGCTTTTGCGAGCAACTTTTTCGAACTTCTGCGACAACGGTTGCGCACCTGCCAGGGCCATCATCCCTGTCAAATAATACCATGCGGGACACATTCGTCTCTCTGTATTATGTATTGTATGGCACAATTGCACCATGCTGGGCACATGCGCGCCCCGAATAAGTGACCAAGTTCTGTGGGTGTGTACCCCGCGCCAGTGTAGTAGCCACGGTCGTCCGCACGCCACGAAGTGAAGTGTCCCAACGTCATAGGGCGGGAAGCTGGGTTTGGGTGGTCGCGAAGAGTCGTTTGGATATTTGGTAGAGCTTGTAATGCCCCCCCACGAAGTGGGGGTATTGCCTGGTGTCGTATGAAAACCCTGGCACTGGGGAGAACACCACGCGTTCGGGTAAAATGATTGTTGTTGTTGTTGTTGTTGTTGTTGTTGTTGTTGTTGTTGTTGTTGAACATTATTTCTTCTAAAGAATAATTATTGTTGGGACCCCTGGTGCGCGACCCCCCCGCCGCGCCTAGGCCGCAGCCTCATTTTCATCATTTTCGTGAGGAAGTCTCAGGCAAAACGGGTTGGTCCGGATCCGGTTGTGTTGTTACGATCGGTTTTCCCTTGCAAAAAATAAGCTAAAGTGGACATTTCTTGTTCTAACATAACCAAACTTCAAGAATCCCTTGCAAAAAATAAGGTAAAGTGGACATTCGCGCGCGCAAGACGAAATCCTTCCAAAACCTTAGTTTTCGTAGCGATTTTAACATAAAAACATCAAAAAACCAATGGTTTTTCAAACAAAAAATGTCAAAATTTCATCCCGCGCGCTCTTGCGGATTCGTAGGAAACCCAACACTTTTTAAACATTTCTGTCAAACGGGCTTTTGCGAGCAACTTTTTCGAACTTCTGCACAACGGTTGCGCACCTGCCAGGGCCATCATCCCTGTCAAATAATACCATGCGGGACACATTCGTTTTTTCTTCGCGCGCGCACGCCGTCGTCGTCGGCCGCGGGGCCCTGAATAGTAGCCACGGTCGTCCGCATGCCACGAAGTGAAGTGTCCGAACGTCATAGGGCGGGAAGCTGGGTGTGGGTGGTGGCGAAGAGTCGTTTGGAAATTTGGTAGAGCTTGAACCGGCCCCCCCACAAAGTGGGGGTATTGCCCGCCTCCTATGAAAACCCTGGCACTGGTGAGAACGGAGTGTCCCCACGTGCTAGTAATTGTTGTTGTTGTTGTTGTTGTTGTTGTTGTTGTTGTTGTTGTTGTTGTTGTTGTTGTTGTTGTTGTTGTTGTTGTTGTTGTTGTTGTTTTTGTTGAATTCTCATTTCTGAAGAATAGTATTGTTGATCCCCCCCACCGGTGCATATGTTTTTCCTCAATCAAAGTGTGCCCCTCGACGCTCGCACCGTGTTTTTTGACAGGGAAAGTCTTCCTGCTCAAACTGGGCCCCTGGCCCCCGGGTTACAACAACAACGGCTGCCGCCTGAGATTTCCTTACAATTTAGCCAGGATCCCCGCTCCCGCCCGAGACTTCCTCGCATTTGATTCTGGAATCGCGCTCCCGCTTGGGACTTCCTTACAGTTTATTCAGGAATCGCTCTCCCGGCGCTCTGGAGTCACGCGCTGGAGACTTGCTTGCAACTTACTGAAGAATAGCCTTGCGTTGGAATTTCTTGCAATTTGCCCAAGCGCCGCGCTCCCGACACCCAGG